AAGCTATGTCAGTCTGACTCCAGAGGCCATTTTCTAAACCACAATGCTAAGAGTGCCACAGTGTTTGGAAGACAGGCAGAGAGGAAACAAACTGGGTGCAGGAATCCAGAGCCCAAAGTTCCACCTCTGGCACCAATCGCCGCGGATGACCTGAGCAATTAACTTTGGCCCTCAAGGCCTCAATTTTCCCTTCTATAAAGCAGAGGAAGTCATTTGTCTTTCCTGAGATGGGGACAAAACAGTTGTGGGGGTTAAATGAGACAGCTAACAGGAAAGCACTTTGGTAACTGTGAAATCTAATTCTTTCCCACTCTACGATCTGCAGCCCCAACAAAGACCCCACCAAACACCAAAGAACCTAGAATCCTGGGCCCTGGAAAGCAAACTTTAAGCATCCAGACTTACAGGGGGAAAAGGTGCACTCCCTTAACCACATGGGCTTTGTGTATGCTCTCCCTCTACCCCAAGGCTTTCCTTGCTGCTGGTTCCGGTGATGTCTTCACCCTTCAGGTCCTAGTTCAGATGTCTCCTCTGCCAGGAACCCCATGCCAGGTCAGGCAGGTGCCCAGTTGACTCCACCATCTCAGCTCTGCCCAGTGATGGGGAATAAATCCATCCCCGCTGGACTAGGAATTCCTTGAAGGCACAGATTGGTGCTGGCTGGGTCCCTGCTGTTTTGCCAGCATGGCCAGCACAAGGCCTGGCACTGGGCAGAATCTCACAAAATGCTAGCTAAAGGAAGTAATGAATGGATGGAGAGATGAATGGTGTATATCCACGCAAGGAGTTCATTCACCTTGCCCACTGCCTAGACAGAGCCGATTCATCGAGACAAGAGAACTGAAAGAGAAAGAGTAATTCACACACAGCTGGCTGTGCGGGAGGCAGGAGTTTTATTTCTTTTTAATTAATTAATCTTTTTTTTGTTTGTTTTTGTTTTTGAGACGGAGTTTCGCTCTTGTTACCCAGGCTGGAGTGCAATGGTGCAATCTTGGCTCACCGCAACCTCTGCCTCCTGGGTTCAGGCAATTCTCCTGCCTCAGCCTCCTGAGCAGCTGGGATTACAGGCACCCGACACCATGCCAAGCTAATTTTTTGTATTTTTAGTAGAGACAGGGTTTCACCATGTTGACCAGGATGGTCTCGATCTCTTGACCTCATGATCCACCCGCCTCGGCCTCTCAAAGTGCTGAGCCACCGTGCCCGGCTAATTAATCTTTTTTTGACACGGAGTTTTGCTCTTATTGCCCAGGCTAAAGTGCAATGGTGCAATATCGGTTCACTGCAATCTCCACCTCCTGAGTTCAAGCAATTCTCCTACCTCAGCCTCCAGAGTAGCTGGCACTACAGGTGCACGCCACCATGCTCAGCTAATTTTTGTATTTTTAGTAGAGATGGAGTTTCACCATGTTGACTAGAATGGTCTTGATCTCTTGACCTCATGATCCACCCACCTCAGCCCCCCAAAGTGCTGGGATTACAGGTGTGAGCCACCACGCCCAGCCAGGAGTTTTATTATTACTTAAATCAGACTCCCTGAGCATTTGGGGAGCAGAATTTTTTTTTTTTTTTTTTTGAGACTAGTTTCACTCTTTTGCCCAGGCTGGAGTGAAGTGGTGTGACCGAGGCGGCTCAATGTGACCTTCGTCCATGGGTTCAAGCGATTCTCATGCTTCAGCCTCCCAAGTAACTGGGATTATAGGTGGCCGCCACCATGCCTGGCTAACTTCTGTATTTTTTTAGTAGAGATTGGGTTTCACTATGTTGGCCAGGCTGGCCTCAAACTCCTGACCTCAGGTGATCCACCCACCTCGGGGGCCTCCCAAAATGCTGGGATTACAGGCATCATCCAATGGTCCCGGCTGAAGCGGAGTTTTCTTGTTGTTATTATTATTATACTTTAAGTTCTGAGGTACATGCGCAGAATGTGCAGGTTACATAGTTATACATGTGCCATGGTGGTTTGCTGCATCCATCACCCCGTCATCTACATCAGGTATTTTTCCTAATGCTATTCCTCCCCCAGCCCCCTACCCCCTGACAGGCCCTGGTGTGTACTATTCCCCTCCCTGTGTCCATGTGTTCTCATTGTTCAATTCCCATATGCGGTGGGAACATGTGTTCCCATTGTTCAATTCCCACTATGCGAGAACATGCGGTGTTTGGTTTTCGGTTGTTGTGTTAGTTTGCTGAGAATGACAGTTTCCAGCTTCATCCATGTCCCTGCAAAGGATATGAACTCATCCTTTTCTATGGCTGCACACTACCCCATGGTATATAATTGCCACATTTTCTTTATGCAGTCTATCACTGATGGGAATTTGGGTTGGTTCTAAGTCTTTAATATTGTGAACAGTGCCAAAATGAACGTAAGTGTGCGTGTGTCTTAATAATGGAATGATTTATAATGCTTTGGGTATATACCAAGTAATGGGATTGCTGAGTCAAATGGCATTTCTAGTTCTGGATCCTTGAGGAATCGAATCGCCATACTGTCTTCCACAAATTACACTCCCACCAACAGTGTAAAAGCATTCCTATTTCTCCACATCCTCTCTGGCATTTGTTGTCTCCTGATTTTTTAATGATCGCCATTCTAACTGGCATGAGATGGTATCTCATTGTGGTTTTGATCTGCATTTCTTTAATGACCAGTGATGATGAACTTTTTTTCATGTTTTCATATGTTTGTTGGCTACATAAATGTCTCCTTTGGGAGATGTGTCTGTTCATATCCTTTGCCCACTTTTTGATGGGGTTGTTTTTTTCTTGTAAATTTGCTGAAGTTCTTTGTTGATTCTGGATATTAGCACTTTGTCAGATGGACAGATCGCAAAAATTTTCTCCCATTTTGTACGTTGCCTGTTCACTCTAATGTTAGCCTCTTTTGCTGTGCAGAAGCTCTTTAGTTTAATTAGATGCCATTTGTCTATTTTGGCTTTTGTTGCCATTGGAGCAGAGTTTTTATGGATACCTTGGTGGGTGGGGGTAAGCCAGTGAGCCAGGCGTGCTGAATGGTCAGAGATGAAATCATAGGGAGTCCGAGATGTCTTCTTGCTCTCAGTCAGTTGCTGGGTGTGGGGGCCACAAGATCAGATGAGCCAGTTAATTGATCTGGGAGGGACCACCTGATCCATCAAGTGCAGGGTCTCCAAAATATCTCAAGCATTGATCTCAGGAGCATTTAGGGAGGGCCAGAATCTTGTAGCCTCCAGCTGCATGACTCCTAAATCATAATTTCTAATCTTATAGCTAATGTCAGTCCCCATAAAAGGAGGTCTGCTTTGGGAAACAGCTGTTACTGTGTTTGTTTAAACTATAAACTATAAACTAAGTTTCTCCCAAAGTTAGCTCAGCCTTCGCCCAGAATGAACAAGGACAGCTTGGAGTCAGTTAAGTTAGATCTCTTTCATTGTCTCAGTCATAATTTTGCAAAAGTGGTTTCAGTAGTTCCCTGATCCAGCCAATGATGCTAAATTCCCTTATTTTATTTATTTTTTCTTTTTGAGATGGAGTTTCGCTGTTGTTACCCAGACTGCAGTGCAATGGCACAATCTCGGCTCACCGCAATCTCCGCCTTCTGGATTCAAGCAATTCTCCTTCCTCAGCCTCCTGAGTAGCTGAGATTACAGGCATGCACCACCACGCCCAGCTAATTTTTGTATTTTTAGTAGAGATGGGTTTCACCTTGTTGACCAGGATGGTCTCGATCTCTTGACGTCGTGATCCACCCGCCTCGGCCTCCCAAAGTGCTGGGATTACAGGCATGAGCCACTGCGCCCGGCCTTAAATTCCCTTATTTTATGTTCCCACATAGCACCCAGATCACTTTTTTAAAGTTGTTTATATTTTGGGTGTTTACTTGCCCTTTATTTCTGTTGGTTGATTGATTGAGAACAGTCTCACTCAGTCAGCCAGGCTGGAGCAAAGTCACACAATCTAGGCTCACTGCAGCCTCCACCTCCCGGGTTCAAGCGATTCTCCTGTTTCAACCTCACAAGTAGCTAGGATTATAGGTGAGCGCCACCAAACACCCAGCTAATTTTTGTATTTTTAGTAGAGACAGGGTTTCACTAAGTTGGCCAGGTTGGTCTTGAACTCCTGGCCTCATGTGAACCACCCGCCTCGGCCTCCCAAAGTGCTGGTATTACAGGCGTCAGCGACTGCACCGGACCTTACTATGACCTTTAGATCTGAGCTCGGGCAGCCCTTTCTAGGCAGCCCTGCTGGTCTCCTGTCCCTGGGTCAGCCAGCTCCTCTGAGCTCCGGGGCTCGCAATCTCCCGACCACTCTGGGTTCACAATGATGGATCAGAAGTGTATCTCCCAGTGCTGAGCAAAAAGCCCGCAGTCTGTCTACCGAATGAAAGGACGGCGTATGAGCGCATTAATGAGTACACAGGTGAATGTCCTCTCTGGGTCAAAGTCCTCTTCCACATTCCCAGGCCGTGCCTCCAGAACCCAGAGTTCACTCCTGAACCATGCCCCTAACCCAGACTTATTGCCTAAAGTAAAATTGAGGCACGCCGATGTCCTAAATGGATAATATGCAAGCACCTTCCACCTCCCAGATCAGTGGGGAAACTGAGGCAGCGAGTGCAGCTTTGGAAATCGAGTCGCCCAAGGATGGCCGGGAAAAGGATCCCGTCCGGTTTCTCCTCAGCCCCTCCCCTAGTTCCTCTGTCCCAGAAAGCGCCGTCCAAATTTCTCCCATCCCTCACAGTATTGGTTTAACAGGGCGTCAGTTTCCAAGCACTCTCTTCCCCTATTGGCTGGTATTTCCCAATTGCGCGGTGGCGCCTTGGCCTGCCCCTTACGCCACGCCACGCCCTCACCATTGGGCTAACCGCACGCCCCTCTATCAGGAGCCCTCCCTATTGGCCACTGGACTTTGCCGGTTCGGGCTGTGACTGGTCGTGGACAGAAGTCCATCCCCTGGGCAACCACCTGAGAGGGGTTGGAAAAAGGAAAAAGGTTGGAGGAAGTTGGGGTCAGACTCACGTTGAGCGGGCGGGAGGCAGATATAGGTCTTGAAGAACTCGCTTCGGCGGGCGGCTTCTTTAATGCGGTTGGCAAGCGGTTTGCTGACCTGGCGGATGCCCAAGTATAGCAGCTTCGCCATAGGGAACGCGCCCACCACCATCTTGGCGGTCTCACAGGGGCACGCGCAACCTTGCCGACTGGGCGGGGCGCCTCAACCTCTCCACTCCTCCCCCGCCCGCTAGGGGCCATGCGTGCGTCAGTACGCAAGTACGTACGCTCGGCGGAGGGAACTGCAGAGGCGCACCCTGACGTCACCGCGTCGAGGCTAACGTACCGACGTCCGTCGCTGAATATGCAAATATACACGGAAGTGAGGCGGGTCAGGGGGCGGTGCCGTTAAACGGATGTTGGAAGGCGCGTGGATTCCCACGCCCGCCTTAGCCGACGTCACTGTGCTCCTTCGTGACGTCACGTACTGAGTCGGCGTCCCACCCAATGGAGGCTCTTAATTAGTCCTAATTAGTCCAATGAGTCCCAGATACACCTTCCTTTGTAAGCTGTGGCTCTCATTGGGATTGAGAGGAAGCCAGCAACCATACAGACCTTGGTTGGGATCCCAGCTCAGCCATTTCCTGGTTGTGTGATATTAGATGAGTGACATAACCCCTCTGGACTTCAGTTATTACCGTCTACAAAATGGGAATCCTAATAGCACTTGCCTTTTTGGGTTGTTGTGAGGCTTCTATGCGAATCTTGAGTGTAAAACAATGAATGGACCATGGGAAGTGCTTAGAATGGTGCCAGTTACATAGTTAAGCATTCAGAACAACCCTTACTGTTAGGCAGTTAATGATTGCATTATTACTAACTCCAGCCTGAGGGTGCATTTCACCCCCAGAAATAATGAATCCAACGTTTTCCCAAGTAACTGACAAGGAGGCTGAGGCCCAGAGCCGGGCAGGGAATGGCACAAGGTTCCTACCTAGGTTGATAGCCTAGCGTCTTGGCTAATGAAACCATACCCGTTCTCAAGCAACCCAACTTCCTTCATTACGGGGTAGGGTCCCCAGGGAGCTGGTTCAGAAAGAAGTTTAAGGACATGTCCCAGACTGTCTTCTGTTACCCAGCAGGGAGCAAAATCATATAAACAATGTCAGGAAGGGGTTGAGAGAAATTCCTGGATGATGGAGTGCTGGTGGGTAATTGAGAGATTCTGGGAGGCAGAGGGACAGAAGAAAATAGGAACCTCAGAGGACCGGCTACCATGGCTCACGCCTATAATCCCAGCACTTTGGGAGGCTGAGGAGGGTGGATCACCTGAGGCCAGGAGTTTGAGACCAACCTAGCCAACATGGTAAAACCCCGTCTCTACTAAAAATACTAAGGAAAAAAAAAAGGGCATGGTGGTGGGCACCTGTAATCCCAGTTACTCCAGAGGCTGAGGGAGAATCACTCAAACCTGGGAGGCGGAGATTGTCGTGAGCTGAGATTGCCTGACTGTACTCCAATCCCGGTGACAGAGACTCCATCTCAAAGAGAGAAAGAAAGAAAACAGGTACAGAGGAGTGGTGTATAGGAGGAAAACTATATTCAGGACACAGAATCAGGGGACCCTGGACTTCCTTGGCATCCACTCTGACTCTCTGAGTGTCCTTTGTCAAGCCCCTGGCACTGAGAGACCTGTGTTTCCTCATCTGTAATGATGGTGCTGGTGTGTGAACCCTGACATTCTGAATTACTAAGAATGCCAGGATTCCATAAAACACCCTTTCCCAGGGTCCCTTCCAGACTGAAGGTATAGTGGAACTCGGGACTGTTTCACTTAAGGTCCATCATCTTGGGACCATCCGCCTTCCCATTTTACAGACTGGTCAAGTGAGGCCAGAGGATGAAAAGGATTTGCCCAGAGTTCCATAAGAAATCAGGGTGGAGCTGAAGTGGAAATGGCTTTCTTTCTTTCTTATTTATTTTATTTTTTGAGACGGAGTCTCGCTCTGTGGCCCAGGCTGGAGTGCGGTGGTGGGATATCAGCTCACTACAAGCTCCGCCTCCTGGGTTCAAGCGATTCTCCTGCCTCAGCCTCCCCAGTAGTTGGGATTACAGGTTCGCACCACCATGCCCGGTTAATTTTTGTGTTTTTAGTATAAATGGGGTTCCACAATGTTTGCCAGGCTGGTCTTGAACCCTGATCTCAGTTGATCTGCCTGTCTCGGCCTCCCAAAGTGCTGGGATTACAGGCGTGAGCCACCGCACCCGCCCTGAAGCTGGGATTTCTTGAGTCTTGGGTCAGGGCCTTCTCCTGATCCCTGGGGGTGTTAGCCTGGAGCCTCAGGACCTACTGGGGGAGCTGAGGATCCCCACAATGAGTTCAGGAAACTTCTGGACTTGTACATGACTTTTTTTTCTATGTAAATCACTGCTGGTCACATCAGCTCTTAGTGCCTGACACACAGTTAGGTGCCTAATAAATTTTATTGAATGAATGCAAATGAGCCTTTGGTTGGAAGGGGTAGTGTCCAGGCTTTCATTTGATTCTTCAAGGAGACTATGTTCAAAATGTTTCTGTGGGCCAGGCACAGTGGCTCAAGCCTGTAATCCCAGTACTTTGGGAGGCCGAGGCGGGTGGATCACAAGGTCAAGAGATCGAGACCATCCTGGTCAACATGGTGAAACCCCATCTCTACTAAAAATACAAAAAATTAGCTGGGCATGGTGGCACGTGCCTGTAATCCCAGCTACTCAGGAGGCTGAGGCAGGAGAATTGCCTGAACCCAGGAGGCGGAGGTTGCGGTGAGCCGAGATCATGCCATTGCACTCCAGACTGGGTAACAAGAGCGAAACTCTGTCTCAAAAAAACAAAAACAAAAAAACAGAATGTTTCTTGGCTCACACCTGTGATCCTAGCACTTTAGGAGGCCAACACCGGAGGACTGCTTGAAGCCAGGAGTTCCATACCAACCTGGGCAACATAGTGAGACCCTGTCTCTACCAAAAAAAAATTTTTTTTTATTAGCCAGGCATGGTGGTTTGCTCCTATAGTCCCTGCTACTCAAGAGGCTGAGATGGACGCTCCACTGCGCTCCAGCCTAGGCAACAGAGGGAGACCCTGTCCCCCACCCCAAAAAAAGAAAAAATAATTAAAATTTCTGGCCCCAGGCCAGGTGCAGTGACTTATGCCTGTACTCCCAGCACTTTGGGAGGCTGAGGCAGGTGGATCACCTGAGGTCAGGAGATCGAGATCAGCCTGGCCAACATAGTGAAACCCCATCTGTACTAAAAATACAAAAAAGTAGCTGAGCGTGGTGGCTCATGCCTGTAATCCCAGCAACTCTAGAGGCTGAGGCGGGAGAATCACTTGATCCCCAGAGGTGGAGCTTGCACTCTAGCCTGGGTGACAGAGTGAGACTCTGTCTCAAAAAAAAAAAAAATTCTAGCCCCAACATCTCCATTCCAGTAGTTTTATGGCAATGGGATAAGGTGGGAAGACTAGTAGGCCTCCCTCTCTTCTCCAGCCCTCCAGCACCAAAGCCAGGATTTCCCACATCTCTGCGCTCCCTCCACCCTCCACCCCCAAAAAAATCATTGAGTGCATTTTTCCCCCATTCCTCTCCTCCTTCCTCTTCCTTTCTCTGAGAAAGGTTTCCAGGAATGTCTTCTGGGAACCTCTGTGTGGGGGGGGAAGGGGGGAGGGTTGTGGGTGGATCTTCACACCTCAGGAGTCTGTTTGCACACCCGTGAGGAGGAAGGGGAGCAGAGACCTTCTCCGAGGGGCGAGGCCTTTTCAGAGCTGGGTGCTTCTTCCTGCTCTCCAGCCTGGTTATGAAACAGTGGCCATGGTGACTCCTGAGACCAGGGGACGGAGGGCAGCCTTGGCCACCGTGGGGCGTGGGAACACAAGCAGAGATGGGGAGGGGAGAGGGAGCCTAGGATGTCTCTGGCGCTGACTCACTGGCCGTGCGACCTTGGACTGGTGGCTTGCCCTCTCTGGTAACCACCCTGGACTATAGCCTGGGATCCTTCCTGTAAGTTTTTTCGGCTCAGATCCCCTGGTCACCCTTTTCCCGAAATGGGTGAGGGACCCGTGTTCCCAAATCCCACTGGCCCCGTACTTCTTCTGTTAGAGGATTCCTTCAAAATAAATCCGAGGCCGGGCGCAGTGGCTCAAGCCTGTAATCCCAGCACTTTGAGAGGCTGAGGTGGGAGGATGACCAACATGGCGAAACCCTGTCTCTACTTAAAATACAAAAACTAACCAGGCGTGGTGGTGCGCGCCTCTAATCCCAGCTACTTGGGAGGCTGAGATAGGAGAATCACTTGAACCTGGGAGTTGGAGGTTGCAGTGAGCCGAGATCATGACACTGCACTCCAGCCTGGGCGACAGAGCGAGACTCCATCTTGAAATAAATACGTCAATAAATAAACAAACAAAAATAAAAATCCAAAGGCTGACCACTGTTCCTTGGTAAATCCACAACCACCACCCACCGCCAGCACCTCCTCACTGGGCTCCTCGCTTCTACCCTTGTCTCCCATACGCCTTATTTTTTTTTTTTTTTTGAGACGGAGTTTCGCTCTTGTTACCCAGGCTGGAGTGCAATGGTGCGATCTCGGCTCACCGCAACCTCTGCCTCCTGGGTTCAGGCAATTCTCCTGCCTCAGCCTCCCAAGTAGCTGGGATTACAGGCTCGCGCCACAATGCCCAGCTAATTTTTTGTATTTTTAGTAGAGACGGGGATTCACCATGTTGACCAGGATGGTCTCGATCTCTTGACCTCGTGATCTACCCGCCTCGGCCTCCCAAAGTGCTGGGATTACAGGCTTGAGCCACCGCGCCCGGCCCCATACTCCTTTTTTATTTTGAGACAGGGCCTTGCTCTGTCGCCCAGGCTGGAGGGCAGTGGCGCAATCACTGCTCATCGCAGCCTCCACCTCCTGGTTCAAGTGAACCTCATGTCTCAGCCTCCCAAGTAGCTGGGGCTGCAGACACATGCAACCATGCCCAGCTAATTTTTAAGTTTTTTGTAGAAACGGGTCTCCCTATGTTGCCCACAGTGGTCCCAAAGCCCTGGCCTCAAGTGATCCTCCTGCCTCAGACTCCCAAGGTTCTGGCATTACAGGCTGGAGCCACCGTCCCCAGCCTATCTCCCACATTCTACTTCCCACTCAACAGCCGGTGGGATACTGTGAATACTTAAGTCAAATCACTTTCATCCTCTACTGAGAACCCCTCATAGCTCCTTGTCTCATATTAAAAGGCAGAGTCCTCATTGGGACTTACATGGCCCCACATGACCTGCTGTCTCCTCTCCTGTCTCATCTCCCCTTTCCCGTTGTCCTCCTCACCCCTGCTCCAGCCACACTGCCACACCTGCTATCCTTCCAAATTCAGACACTTGGCCGGGCACGGCGGCTCACGCCTGTAATCCCAGCACTTTGGGAGGCCAAGGCGGGCAAATCACAAGGTCAGGAGTTCAAGATCAGCCTGGCCAAAGAGATCAGCCTGGTCAACATGGTGAAACCCCGTCTCTACTGAAAATACAAAACAAAGTAGCCAGGCGTGGTGGCGGGTGCCTGTAATCCCAGCTACTTGGGAGGCTGAGATAGGAGAATCACTTGAACCTGGGAGGCAGAGGTTGCAGTGAATCGAGTAATGACATTGCACTCCAGCCTGGGTGACAGAGTGAAACACTGACTCAAAAATAAATAAATAAATAAATAGAAAAAAAGAAAATTCAGACACTCTCTTAAATTATTCTTCTTATTATTTGGAGGCAGAGTTTCACTCCTGTCGCCCAGGCTGGAGTGCAATGTCACAGTCTTGGCTCACCGCAACCTCCACTTCCTGGGTTCAAGCAATTCTCCTGCCTCAGCCTCCTGAGTAGCTGGGATTACAGGCACCCGCCATGTTTGGCTAATTTTTTTTTAGTATTTTGTAATTTTAGTAGACGCGGGGTTTCACCCTGTTGGCCAGGCTGGTCTCAAACTCCTGACCCCAGGTGATCCACCAGCCGTGGCCTCCCAAAGTGCTAGAATTACAGGCGTGAGCCACCTCACCTGGCCTGAATTTCATATGCTCTCTAACCCCAGGGCCCTGGCACCTGCAGTTCCCTCTGCCTGAAATGCTCTTCCCACAGCAGCCACAGGGCTGAGTGCCACACCTCCTTCAAGTCTGCTGGAAAGCCACCTCAGCAAGCCCTCCTCATTTAGATCAGACTCCAAGTCATCCTCTAGCCCCTCAACTGGCTTTGCATAGAACAATATCCCCTTCACACTTAGCAATTCCAAACATGACGTATTTTTTATTTACTTGTGTATGGTGAGCCCTGTGAAGGCCAGGCCAGCCTGTCTCAGTCACTGCTGTATCCCCAGGGCCACCCACACAACGCCCTACATGAACCTCTGTTGAATGACGGGTAGATACCCTTTCCTCTTGTCCCAGACCTTCCCTCATCATTCCTCCAGGCCATCTGCCCCGCCTGCCCGGGACTCAGATTTCAACATCCTCAGACCTGACTTGGAGATCGCTGTTGATCTAGAAAAACTTAGAACTGCGGTCTTTTGTTCCCTCCCCTGTATGACCAGGGGCTTTGCGAACATGACTCTGTGTTTCCTGCACTTTCCACTTTCCCCCTGAGTCAGAGACTTTTATCCACTTGTTGGAAAAAAAAACAAATCTAACCTTCTCTATTTGTCTTTATTTTCTGGAAACCAAACATTTGACTTAATTCATCTGGCCGGGCATGATGGCTCACATCTGTACTTTGGGAGGCCGAGGCAGGAGGAGCCCAGGAATTTAAGACCAGCCTGGGAAACATAGTGAGACTCCGTCTCTACAAAAGTACAAAAGTTAGCCAGTCATGGTGGTGTGCGCTGGTGGTCCCAGCTCCTCGGGAGGCTGATGTGGGAGGATTGCTGGAGCTCAGGAGGTGGAGGATGCAGTGAGCCACGATTGCACTACTGCCCTCCAGCCTGGGCAACACAGCAAGACCATGTCTCCAAAATAAATATTTACTCATCTCCTCTTCCAGGAGGCCCTCCGTGACTACCAAACTGTGATGGGATCTGGGACCATGAAGGTTGACCAGTGACACACCTGCCTCACTCTTCCTAAGTTCTGGTATTATGAATATTAACATAGCCCATTTTCATACAATTTGCCCACACCAGACCAGGAGAGAAGGGACTGTGGGATGAGAGTGGAGGACTGGGGCTTCTGTGCCAGGCACGGTTCACTGTGCTGGTGGCAGCGTCTTCAGCTGCACCTGGTCCCCCTGGGAGGGCAGAGTGGCTGCCCAGCTGCCAGCCATGGCCTTGGCTGTGCTGTTCCTCTTGGAGGTGAGTGGGGTCTCCAGGGTGAGCGACGCATTGGCCATCTCCTGGGGCTTGTCACTGGCTAGAAAGCGGAGCAGGTTGTGCAGAGCCTTGGCGACGTCACTGCGGGCGCCCTCGTTGACCAGGCAGTAGAGGATGGGGTCCGCCACACAGTTGAGGCTGGTGAAAGCCAGTGAGCTGTGGTAGGCAGAAAAGACACGCTCCTCAAAGCCACAGTCCCAGGGGCGGCCCAGGTAGATGGCGCTGCGGGACAGCAGGAGCACGTGATAGGGCGCGAAGCAGACCAGCACGATGGCGATGAGGCTGAGGGCCAGCCGCTTGATCTTGGCCTTCTCCTGGCGCTCGGTAGACACGCTGCCCCGCACGGCCCGCAGGATGCCCCGGTACGACAGCAGCATGAGCGCCCACGGAAAGAGGAACCCCACGAAGACCCGGTAGAGGTTCATCCAGGCCACCCAGCCTTCCATGGGAAACTTCTCGAAGCAGAAGGTGTGGTTGTAGCGGTCTCGGAAGAGCTCGTCATGGAACAGGGGCGCCGAGTTGGCGCCCAGCTCGGTGGCCCAGACCACGGAGCTCACGGCCACAGCCGTCTTGACGCGGCGCAGGCGGGCGAAGCGGAGTGGGTGGGCCACGGCCAGGTAGCGGTCGACCGAGATGCAGCACAGGAAGGCGATGCTGATGTAGATGTTGGTGTAGAAGATGAAACCGAAGAGCTTGCAGGACCCGGGGCCGTGGATCCAGTTGTCGTGGTGCAGGAAGTAGTCGACCCACAGCGGCAGCGTGCAGATGTACAGCAGGTCGGCGATGCTGAGGTTCATCAGGTACACGCCCAGCTCGTTGCGCTGCTGCACCTGGCGGTAGGCCGCCCACAGAGCCAGGCAGTTGGTGGGCAGCCCCACGCCGATGACGAAGATGTAGAGGGATGGTGGGAAGAGGTGGTCCACACGCGAGTCCACGTGGCAGCCCTCCCACGTCTGGTTGCCCATTGTGGGCACTTCGGCTTCTGGGGCACTTCCCCTGGCCCACGGGGGCTGTGGGGCCACGGGGAGCGGGAGGCCATGGGGCCCCCTGAGCCCCTTCCTTGGAGGCTCAGGGGAACATGGCAGGGAAGAGAGATGAGGTCAGATAGGCTGAGCCGGGAAGGGCAAAGCTTGAGAGGGAAAAGCTGGAGGAGGGATGGAGTTATGACAGGAGGGAACTCAGGAGGATGACGAGATTAATAAAGAGGTTTGTCAAGGAGGTTATGTATAGAGTCAATCACGGTGTCAATGAGGGAGTATGGGGGTGACACAAAAATTGGTCTCGGGGATTGTTTATGGAGGAGATGAGAGCATCACTGGGCAACGGCGAGGAGATGTGTGCAGGGCAGTTAGGAAGTATGTTCCTAACTGCCGTAGTATTGAAGGAATAATGGTGGGGGAATGTTCTAGAAGACACAGGAAATACATGGGACAGTGTTGAGACAGGACACACAGGGCAGTCAGGGAGTGTTGGAAAGTCCAGGCAATACGGGTGGGAGTGCTGGCATTTCCTAGGACCCCAGAAAGAAACAGAGGTAAGTAAGGTCACCACTATGGAGAAGGTTCTGGAAAAGGAGGTGTCTGGCACAGGGTAAAACAAAGACGTAAGGCTCAGTCTGGAGACTGCAGGAAGGAGTCTTAGGAAACAGGAAGGAGGTGAGTAAGGTCTAGCTCGGAAGTGAGTTTGTGGCGGAAGGGACTTTGAATGGGAGCAGGGAGGGACTCCAGACTGGTCTCCGAGCGGGGGCTGAGGGATTAGATGAAGTCCATTCAACGCTGACTTTGCAGTGCCTGTGGGGAGAGAGGACAGCAGTGAGGTAGTCATGGACACTCCTACCTTCTCCCCACACCCCTCACCCTAATCGCTGTGGACTGCAGAGAGTGGACACCCCAACAATGCCTACCTAAGCCCCATCCTAAGCAACTACTCTCTGAGAACACGGATTTGAGGTGCTAGGCGTATTTTCCCCCTGATAGATGTTAGAATAAAGACCCAACTCAGACTGGGTACAGTGGCTCACGCCCGTAATCTCAATACTCTGGGAGGCCGAGGTGGAAGGACTGCTTGAAGTTAGGAGTTCAAGACCAGCCTGGGCAATCCAGTGAGACCTAGTCTCTACAAAAAAATAAAAATAGGCTGGGGGCAGTGGCTCACACCGGTAATCCTAGCACTTTGGAAGGCTAAGGTGGGCAGATCAGGAGGTCAGAAGATCAAGACCATCCTGGCTACCCCAGCGAAACCCCGTCTCTACTAAAAATACAAAAAAATTAGCCAGGCATGGTGGCACACACCTGTAGTCCCAGCTACTTGGGAGGCTGAGGCAGGAGACTCGCTTGAACTCAGGAGGCAGAGGTTGCAGTGAGCCAAGATTGAGCCACTACACTCCAGCCTGGGTGACAGAGCGAGACTCTGTCTGAAAACTAACTAAATAAAAAAAATAAAAATATTAGCCAGGTGTGGTGGGACACAACCGTAGTCCCAGCTACTGGGGAGGCTGATGTGGCAGGATCACTTGAGCCCAGGAGAATCAGGCTGCAGTGAGCTATGACTGCACCACTGCCCTCCAGCTTGGGCAACAGTGTGAGACCCTGTCCAAAAAAAAAAAAGGACCCAACTCAGATTTTAGCACTTCCTTGCAGAAGCCCTGTAAAATTGGCACAGGTGTCATATCATGCTTCAGGAAATGCCAGACTAGTCTAACTCTATCATGTCACAGAGAGAAGGGGCCCAGAGAGGTTGAGCCACCTCCCTAAGGATGCACAGCATGGCAGCAATAAGACCAGGGCTGGGGCCAGCCTTCCACTCCTTACCCAGGAATCCCATTCTTGTCAACAAGGATAATAACAATAAATATTAACTGAGCCCTACTACTTAGCAGATCCCATTCCAGGCATTTTGATGTGTATTATTTTATTTATTTATTTATTTATTTATTTATTTATTTATTTATTTTGAGATGGAGTCTCGCTCTGTAGCCCAGGCTGGAGTGCAGTGGTGCAATCTCGGCTCAGTGCAACCTCCACCTCCCAGGTCCCAGTTCAAGCAATTCTCTCCCCTTAGTGTCCAGAGTAGCTGGGATTACAGGCATGTGCCACCATGCTCAGCTAATTTTTGTATTTTTCATAGAGACTGGGTTTCACCAAGTTGGCCAGGCTGGTCTTGAACTCCTGATCTCGTGATCCGCCTACCTCAGCCTCCCAAAGTGCTGGGATTACAGGCGTGAGCCACCATGCCTGGCCTTTTATTTTATTTACTTATTTATTTTTTGAGATGGAGTTTCACTCTGTTACCCAGGCTGGAGTGCAGTGGTGCGACCTCAGCTTACTGCAACCTCCACCTCCCCGGTTCAAGCAATTCTCTTGCCTCAGTCTCCCGAGTAGCTGGGATTACAGGCGCACGACATCATGCCCAGCTAATTTTTGAATTTTTAGTAGAGATGGGATTTTACCATGTTGGCGAGAATGGTCTCGGTCTCTTGACCTCGTGATCCACCCGCCTTGGCCTCCAAAACTGCCAGGATTACAGGTGTGAGCCACCGCACCTGGCCATTTACCTGTTTTTTTTGAGACGGGGTCTTGCTCTGTCGCCCGGACTAGAATGCAGTAGCATGACCACAGCTCATTGCAGCCTCAACCTCCTGGGCTCCCAGTGATCCTCCTGCCTCAGCCTCCCAAGTAACTGGGAACAGAGGCATGCACCACCATGCCTGGCTAAAAAATTTATATAGTATAGACGGAGGTCTCCCTATGTTGCCCAGGCTGGTCTCGAACTCCTGAGATCAAGAGGTCCTCCCACCTTGGCCTCCCAAAGTGCTAGGATGACAGGAGTAAGCTACCACGCCCAGCCAATTTATGGATATCATTTCACTGAAATTTTTCAAGACTCCTATGAAGAAAGTAGTTGCTCTTCCTCTTTGACAAACTGAGACACAGAGCTGTTCCGAGACTTGTCCAAGGTCCTGATGACTGGAGTGTGGCCATCTCCGCTCTCAGTCCTTGTCTCCAACTTGTGCTCCAGTGTCCACCCCAGAATAACTGGACAGGTGGGCTTGGTGGCTCAGGCCTGTAATCCCAGCAGGCCGAATCAGGTGGATCACCTGAGATCAGGAGTTTGAGACCAGCCTGGCCAACATGGTGAAATCCCATCTTTACTAAAAATACAAAAATTAGCCAGGCATGGTGGCAGGTGCCTGTAATCCCAGCTACTTGGGAGGCTGAGGCAGGAGGATTGTTTGATCCCAGGAGGCGGAGGTCGAAGTGAGCTGAGATTACGCCACTGTACTCCAGCCTGGGTGACATGAGAGAGACTCCATCTCAAAAAAAAGGCCCTGGACTGCCAGTGGGGACTGGGAACCAAAGCTGCAGAGGAGTAAGAGAAAGGGGAGAGCCAGGAGCTGCTGGGGACAGTCAAGGTCAAGGACAGGGAGCGTGGGGAAGCCCTGGGGTCAGCATCAGTAGCCTCCACCCTCAGGGACCACTCTCTTCACAGTCTCTGCCCTTCCCCTCCAATTTTCTTGAGGGAGAATCTTGAGCCTGTCACTCCCTTTGTTCTGGGAAGATCAGCACACACAGAGCAAAGGATACTCATGGACCGAGCCCCTGACGGTCATCAACCCCCTGAGAGAAGCAGAGCCAAATCCAGAGTCACAGGGCCCTTGGGGAGCCATTCCATCCGGGGCTCTTTTGGTTTAGTGCTTTTTGATATGAAGCCTTTTTTTTTTCTTCCCCCAACAAGATCTTAACCAGAAACCCAATCTAAAATAGTGAAAAGAACAAGCTGGGCCAGGCGCGGTGGCTCATGCCTGTAATCCTAGCACTTTGGGAGGCCGAGGTGGGTGGATCACCTGAGGTCAAGAGTTCAAGACCAGCCTGGCCATCATGGTGAAACCCCATCTTATTAAAAATAAATAAATTATACATATATATATATATATATATATTTAAAAAACAAAAAAGAAAAGGACAAGCTGCTAACTGCTCTGGTGAAACAAGGCCACCTCTCAAGATCTCCAGGATGCACTTTGAAAAGTCTTGGTAGAGTCCACTGACAGATGAGGAAACGTAGGCCCAGAGAGGGGAAAAAAGGAGGTCCATGGAAGCCTCCCAGATGCCAGAGCATCTTTCCATGGGAAAGTCCCCTCGGCTCCACCTCCCAAGTGGTTCCTGAATTTGTGTCCATCTGTCTCAGACCCCTGCCGCTGTCCACTCTGCGTTAGCATCATCGTTCACTCGGACTGTTGCAGTAGCATCACTGCTGCTCTTCTGGTTGCTGCTCTGGCTTCCTTCAAATCACTCCCCACGTGGCAGCCAGAAAGATCTTTTTTTTTTTTTGAGACAGAGTCTCACTCTGTCGACCAGGCTGAAGTGCAGTGGCTCAAACTCAGCTCATTGCAACCTCTGCCTCCTGAGTTCAAGCAATTCTCTGCCTCAGCCTCCCGAGTCACTGGAATTATAGGTGGCTGCCAACACACCTGGCTAATTTTTTTTCTTTCCCCTCCTCCAAAGTATGCCCTACATATTTGCATAATTTTTGTATTTTTAGTAGAGATGGGGTTTCAACATCTTGGCCAAGCTGGTCTTGAACTTCTGACCTAGTGATCCAAGCACGTTGGCCTCTGAAAGTGTTGGGATTACAGGCGTGAGTCACCACGCCCAGCCAGAAAGATCTTTCTAACATGAAAATCAGGTCTTTCTTTTCTTTTTAAATTTAATTTTATTTATTTATTTATTTTTGAGACAGGGTCTCACTCTGCTGTGCAGTGGTGCAATCTTGACTCACACAGCTGTGACCTCCTGGGTTCAAGTGATCCTCCCACCTCAGCCTTCTAACTGGTGGCTGGGACGACAGGTGTGTGCCACCACTAATTTTTCTATTTTTTGTAGAGACGGGGTTTCCCCACGTTGCCCACACTGGTCTCCAACTCCTGGGCTCAAGCAATTCTCCTGCCTTGGCCTCCCGAAGTGCTGGGATTATAGGCATGAGCCACCACAACCAGCCTAGCTCTTGTCACTTCTCTGCTTGAAAGCCTCCAATGGCTTCCAAATGGGCTTGCAGTAAAATCCATACTCCTTGTCCAGGATCACCAGGCTCTGTCTGACCTGCTGGGGCAGCCTAGCCACCCTCACCCAGCTCTCCTTCCTGTCTCAGCAGGTTCAAGGCCACTGACCTTCACAGCCTCAATCCTTTGCACACTTACATACCCATACTCTCCATCTAGAATGCTTTCTTTCTTTTTTTTTTTTTTGAGACAGAGTCTTGCTCCGTTGCCCAGCAGGCTGGAGTGCAGTGGCACAATCTTGGCTCACTGCAACTTCCGCCTCCTGGGTTCAACCAATTTTCCTGCCTCGGCCTCCCAGGTAGCTAGGATTACAGGCGTGCACCACCACACCTGGATAATTTTTGTATTTTTAGTAGAGATGGGGTTTCACCATGTTGGCCAGGCTGGTCTCGAACTCCCGGTCTCAAGTGATCCACCCACCTTGGCCTCCCAAAGTGCTGGGATTACAGGCGTGAGCTATCGCTCTTCCTTCATATGGTCTGAATAGCTTGGTTCCCCTCTTCACTTCCTCAGGGAGTCCCTCCCCATCCAGTCCCTGAATCTCACCGGCCCACGACCCTCACCTCACATCACCTGTGTCGTCTTTGTGTCTGTCTATCTGCTAGAATAGGTGCTCCAGGAGGGCAGAGACTGTGTGTCTTGTTGACTGCTGTAGCCCTAGCACCCAGGACAGGCCCAGCATCCAGTAGGTGCTCAATAAATTACCAAGGTCATGGTCAGGGAGCACGGGGCCATTTACCAATGGCAGAAATCATTCCAGAAGCTTTGCAGAGGCCAGAGGCATGGAGTAGAAAACATGTATTCTCAGCCAGGCATGGTAGCTCACACCTGTAATCCTAGCAGTTTCGGAGGCCAAGGCAGGAGGATCACCTAAGGTTGGGAGTTCAAGACCAGCCTGACCAACATGCAGAAACCTGTCTCTACTAAAAATACAAAAATTAGCTGAGCATGGTGGCTAATGCCTGTAATCTCAGCTAGTCGGGACGCTAAGGCAGGAGAATCTCTGGAACCCCAGAAGCGGAGGTTGCGGTAAGCCAAGATTGCACATTGTACTCCAACCTGCGCAACTCCATCTCAAAAAAAAAAAATGTATTCTCTGGCCATGAGGCTGCCCCATCCCACCCCAGGCTCAAACTAGGGTTTGAGGAGGAGGGGGAAGGGAGGGGAAGGAGTTTGTTCCCAAGGGAAGAGGTGGGCAGGGGAGAGCTGGAAAGGGCAGGATCTCTCTGCTTCTTAATTGACTTTGAAAGGTCAGGGCTGAGTCTTTCTCAGTGTGTCCTGCCCCCTGTAGGGTCCTCAGCAGCGGAGCTACCGCCCCCACCTCAGACTCCTGGGCAGAAGCTTGTGGGTCCTGTGGAGCTGGGATGGGTGGGGGCGTACTCCGGGCTGGAACAGTGCCATCCTGTCCCTCCCTTCCACTTGAAACCTCCTACCCCAACCAAGTCACTCAAAATACCTCCCTCCCCTCTCCTCTGCTCTCTCTCTCTCCATCTCTCTGCCTCTAGTCTCTCCCTTCCTCCTGTGACATTGAGAGAATTACTTCTCCAGGAGCCTCAGTTTCCCCTTCTGTAAAAGGGGGCACAGCCTTTATACCCATCACAGCACAGACTAACATCCTTGCTAGAATGCGATTATCATCTCCATAACGTGCAGTTTGAAGAGTTATTATTATTCTACAGGGTCTAAGGGGCTGAGACAAGAAATGAACCAGTTCTTCATGGCAGGAGGCACCGGCTGAGGGTGAGGGCCGGAAGTCCCCTTTGCCCTACTTTCTGTCGACCCCCAGGGCTCTGCTGACCTAACTCGGGTACCCGGGCAGGAGACGTTTCTGGCAGCCAGAGGCGGAAACGCACTTCCCATTGCTAATTTCCTCAAGGGGGAACCGGTCCAGCTCTTGGCTCTCCCTCCTCCTACCCCTCCTCCCCAACCCGATGGCATCTTGGGTATGCTGGATATGGGGAGGAGGGGTGCCCAGACAGCCCTCTCTTCTCCCCAAGGTGAGATCTGCCCACCACAGAAACCCCAAAAGTCAGCACGGAACATCAGACTCAGAACACCGCAGTGCAGCCAACATATATGTGACAGCTGGGGCTGTGAGACTATTTCTGACCCCTTCTTGGTACAGATGGGGAAACTGAGGCCCATAGCAGCAAGGCAGTTGTCTAAGTCATTTGATGTCTCAAGTCGGGGCAAACCTCTTGTCACTCTTAACTAAACAGCTTCCCTTCCCCTGAGGTTTTTCTCTTCACTCTCTGAAGTTCTATGATTTTTCTCAAGTCTTTCTGAGCCTGTCTGGCCCCTCTGAGACCCTACTGGAAGATACGAACCTTCTCCCCAGCAAGAAAGCAAGCGACCTTCCATCACTTGATCCCCTTAACCCCATTCCCTTCCAAGACCCTCTTTGGTTGGGATCTAAGTTCTGTCCCTTACTTAGGGCTCTGTTGAGGAGGTGAACCCCCAAATCTCCCAGTCCACAAGAAGCTCCCCCTGTCTGTCCCACAGGCCCCCACTTTTTGGGTCCCTGTGGCCCCTTCCAGAGAGTCGGGGGGAAGAGAAATACACCCAAGAGTGGAGCGATAGTGGGGGACAAGAAAGACCCAACCCCCTCACCCCCCTCCTGTTAGCAGCCTCAACTGCTGCATCCTGTCAGCCACCCCAAAACCCAGCAAAGCCAAAAAACTTGTAGGGTTTCAAGGACTAGAGGGAGGAGTGCCACAGCCTCCTGCATCCTCCCCCCGCCCCCCCCCCCCGGCACTCCCCGAGGCTCACTCACCGGCCTCCTCCCGGTTGCCACCAAGCTATCTCACCTCCCCCTTTTCCTCCTCTGTGGGCTCCTGCTCCCCCGCCTTCCCCCGGCGGCCCCAGAGGACCAGCCAGCTCCGGTCTGCTCATTAGGGATGAAATGTGATCACCACTCCTCGCTCCCCACCTGGTGTCTTGGCGGCCAGCGGAAACCAGGGGGCAGCCGGGCCACCCTAGCCGCCCCACTGCACCTCAGTTTCCCCATTTCAACCGAGGGGGTCTCTGTGCCCCCCACACCCACACTGCCCATCAGGGATACCAGTCCTTAGACTGCCTCTCTGACATCCTGGGTCCCCACGGTTCTGCGATCTTCAGGTTCTATCCTTAGTTCACTCTGCAGTTGAATGTTCTATTAGAACATCCTAGAGTGTTACTCTTCTTTCATTCTATTTATTACATCGCGGCTTTGGAAGCACCTACCCTTCTAAGTTTCCAATATTCTAGAAGTCTCACATTCCAAGATTCGAAAGTTCTATTGTTAGAATGCGCTATGATTTTTTAAGCGTTCTATGACTTTCATCATCTATTATTAAACCCTCAGTGATTTTTATCTTTCCCCGGGAAACAGTAATACGTATTTCCCTTTTCTCTTTTACAGAAATGGGAACGTACACTAAATACGGTGAGCCCCACTTCCTTTTCCTCCCCCCGCTTTTTCTTGTATGCTTTTGAACATTCCAGCAGCTGATTTCTGAGACTGTGCAGAATTCTAAGAAACTGTGGCTTCACAGAGGGAAGAGAAGGGCGTGTTAGTTACCACCTCCACCTGGCCCCTAAATTCTAACCACCTGCAGGGGACAGGAAGCATCCAGGCCCCTCTCTACCCTTTCCCTAGTGGGCCTAGCCTCAGCCCTCCCCGCTCACACCAGCTGAGTTATTATTTGTCTAGACACAAACCAAATTATAGGCCCTGTCCCCGAGGGAACGGTGGGCTCCAGGCGGAGGGTCAGGAGACTGAGGCTGGAGTTAAACCCGCTTCCCCTCCACCTCCCTCCCTCTCTTCCCAAAACTCCACCCCTTCCACCCAAACCAACTCTTGCCCCGCTCCCTCCCCACCATGGTTTTAGAAATATTTTCTCTCCTCTGCTTCTAAAACCCTCCCTTTTGGATTCCAGCCATTTGTACTCACCCTGGCGTCTCTCCCTCCTCATTGAGACCTCTTTCCCAAAATTGATCGACTTAGTGGTAGCAGAAGAAGCCAGCTCTCTGGATTTGGGCCTCAGTTGAAACCTGGAGTCCCAACCCTCCAGCCTGGCACTGACTCACCATGGAGACGTCTGCTCTTGGGCCTCAGTTTCCCCATCTATAAAATGGGAGCAGGGTGGGGGGTTGTTGGCCTAGATGGCTCCACAAACCCTTTCCAGCTCTCAGCTGCCAGCACTGAAAAGTGCCAAGATTTCAGCACTCCTCTTTTTGGATTGAAGGACTGCAGTATCCCGAGGACCTTTGACTGGAAGGATCTGGAATTCCCAGGCCTCCCCTCTGATCTTTCTTCCATCTGGGCCCTTTCATTCAAAGATGCTCGCGTTCAAGGTTCTTGATCCTATGATTTCCCAGAGTTCCAGGAGCCCCCATGGGTCGCTCATCCTCTTCTGCTGGGATTCCCCCAGAGAAGAAAACCTCCCCATCCTCACCCAAACCCGAAGTCAAGTTCATCTACAGAGACAGAGCTGGGGGTGGTTGCCTTCTTGATGGGTTCAGGAGGAGGAGGGCTGATGGTGGGCTTTGGAGGGGCTATTGGGGGGTGTGGCCCCATCCTCTTAATTTCTGCGCCAAATTCCCCAATGCGTATCCAGCCCGAGCACGCACACACACATCCCACAACTGATGTGTCACAGATATTCTAGAGCTGTTCCTCAGCCTAGTTTGGGAGGGCAGGTTGTCCAGTTCCAGGGGGGAAGAGTAAGGCGGAAGCAGGAAAGAGTTAACGGTGACCCAGCCAAATCCTGGAAGAGAGGAAGTAGGGGAGGAAGTCCACCCCCCAGCCAGGAATTCCTGAAATTGGCAGGCGGGGTGAGTGCAACCTCAGGGGCAGTGGGGTGGCTCCATGATGGGGGCCATGGGGTCAGAGTCCGCCTGCCGCAGGTCACAAGCCTCCTGTCCCCTAAGTTCGACTCCCAAGCAACTTCCCAGCCCAGAGGAAAATTCCGGGATGCCAGAGGTTTTGGAAGGAGAAACGACAGACTTGAAGGTGCCAAAACAGGGTTATAAGAGACGGAGAGACAGAGTCAGGGCAATAGAGAGAGACAGAGAAACAGGCAGGGAGAGAGCAAAGAGACACACAGAGACAGGGAGAGATGGATTCAGAGGCAGAGAGATCCACAGAGGTCCCACAACAGACGGGGGACAGGCAGAGGCAGGGGCGGGGGAGGTGGCACCCAGAAACAGAGACAGAGACAGACGGAGACAGAGACGCAGAGATCAAGAGATAGACAGAGACATCCCAGAGACACAGAAGGAGAGACAGGTCCAGAGGCAGAGGGACCACAGACACAGAGACCTCAGAGACCTCAGGCGTGACCTGGAGACCCGCAGAACCGAACCGAGCAGAGCAACAGAGGGGGCGGGCACCGAGACGGCGCAGGAGACTGAGGCAGCCCCCGAAGGGGCGGGAAGGAGCGGTCCCGTCACGAGCAGGGCAACCTAGTGAGACCCGGCGGCACCGCGGGCGGCCGGGGAGGGCCCGGCTCTTACCTGCGCACGGCGGCTGGACGGGGCGGGCGGCAGCGCCTCTCAGCTGCGTCCTAGTCCGGGCTCGACGGCGGCGCAGGGACCCAGCGGATGCCCCTTTGGGGCAGAACAGCGGCGACTCCTCCCGGCCCCCAGGCTCCAGCCGCCAGCCGAGGCCCCGCCCCGCCCAGGCCCGCCCCCATTAACCCCACCTCTGCCGCTGCCCCTTAAGCCCTTTCGGGCTTCACCCCACTCAACGCCTCCAGCCCCGGGGGAAGCTCATCTGCTGCTGGAACACCCCCCCCCAATCCTTCCAAGTCCCCCAGCGGGAAGGTCCCCTCTCTCTAACCACACCCCAACTTTAACAAGCCCTGAGATATGGGAAGAGGAACCCCCCCCCCCCCCGCCCCTCCGCTACTGGCCTTCCCTGGATTAAGCCCTTTCCTCCCTTAGAGACCCCAGGCCTCCGTCATTCATCTTCTGGTCCTTAACCTTCTGCATCATCCCCACCAAGGGAGAGAATAAAGAGTTCTGTTAGGTCCCCAACTCCAAAGTCAGGGCCACCCCTAGAAGGAGCTCTGGGGTTGCGGTTACAGCCTGTCTCTTGGTCAGACCTTAGGCTAGGGACATCCCCGTGCCTGTTTCCTCTTTGAATCAAGGTGGTCACTCATGGTGACTGCTTGCTTTTTCCTTTCTTCTCTTTCTTTCTTCCCTCCCTCCCTCCCTCCCTACCTCCCTCCCTCCCTCCCTCCCTTCCTTCCTTCCTTCCTTCCTTCCTTTTTTTCCCGAGTTTTGCTCTTGTTGCCCAGGCTGGAGTACAATGCCGTGATCTCACCTCCCAGGTTCAAGTGATTCTCCTGCCTCAGCCTCCTAAGTAGCTGGGATTACAGGTGCCCACCACCATGCCCAGCTAATTTTTGTATTTTTAGTAAAGATGGGGTTTCACCTTGTTGACCAGGATGGTCTTGATCTCTTGACCTCGTGATCCACCCACCTTGGCCTCCCAAAGTGCTGGGATTATAGACATGAGCCACCACACCCGGCCTAATTTTTTTTTTTCTTTTTTTTGAGACGGAGTTTCACGCTTGTTACCCAGGCCGGAGTGTAATGGCGCGATCTCGGCTCACGGCAACCTCCGCCTCCTGGGTTCAGGCAATTCTCCTGCCTCAGCCTCCTGAGTAGCTGGGATTACAGGCACACGCCACCATGCCCAGCTAATTTTTTTTATATTTTTTAGTAGAGATGGAGTTTCATCGGGTTGGCCAGGCTGGTCTCAAACTCCTGACCTCAGGTGATCCACCCACCTCAGCCTCCCGAAGTGCTAGGATTACAGGTGTGAGCCACCATGCCTGGCCTCCTTTTTTATTTTTAAATTAAAATTAAAATGTTGGCCAGGCGCGGTGTCTCAAGCCTGTAATCCCAGCACTTTGGGAGGCCTAGACGGGTGGATCACGAGGTCGAGAGATCGAGACCATCCTGGTCAACATGGTGAAACCCCGTCTCTACTAAAAATACAAAAAATTAGCTGGGCATGGTGGCGCGTGCCTGTAATCCCAGCTACTCAGGAGGCAGAGGCAGGAGAATTGCCTGAACCCAGGAGGCGGAGGTTGCCGTGAGCTGAGATCGTGCCATTGCACTCCGGCCTGGGTAACAAGAGCGAAACTCCGTCTCAAAAAAAAAAATTAAAATGTTGGCCAGGCATGGTGGTTCATGCCTGTGATCCCAGCACTTTAGGAGGCCAAGGCAGGCAGATCACTTGAGGCCGGGAGTTTGAGATCAACCCCCATAGCAAGACTCTGTCTCTACCAAATATACATATATTTTAATTAGCCAGCTTGAGTGGCGTGTGCCTGTGGTCCCAGCTACTGCGCAGACAGAGGTGGAAGGATCACCTGAGCCCCGGAGACAAAGGTTGCCGTGAGCCAAGATCACACTTCTGCACTACAACCTGGGAAACGGGGGGCAGGGGATAAAAAGAAGATCCAGCTCTGTGGCTCATCCTGTAATCCCAGCATTTTGGGAGGCTGAGGCGGGAGGATCACTGGAGCCCAGGGGTTTGAGACCAGTCTGGGCAACAAAGTGAAGCCCTCATCGCTACAAAAAAAAAAAAAAAAATTAAAAATTAACCAAGGTTAAAAATTAAATGTAATTAAAAATTACATTGAATTAACAATTAGTCTCAAAAAATTTTTAATTAAAATGTTTAGATCTTAAGGGAACAATATAAGGAATCCAGAAAATTGGATACACCATGTAATTAAACACCCAAAGCAAGACACAGGATATCGGCCGGGTCCAGTGGCGCATGCCTGTAATCCCAGCACTTCGGGAGGCTGAGGCGGGCAGATCACTTGAGGTGGGGAGTTGCAGAACAGGCTGGGTGCGGTGGCTCATACCTGTAATCCCAACACACTGGAAGGCTGGGGCAGATCACTTGAGATGAGGAGTTCAAGACCCAACTGGCTAACATGGCAAAATCCCGTCTCTACTAAAAATACAGAAACTAGCCAGGTGTGGTGGCAGGTGCCTGTAATCCCAGCTACTTGGGAGGCTGAGGCAGGAGAATCGCTTGAACCTGCGAGGCAGAGGCTGCAGTGAGCCCAGATCATGCAAGTGTGCTCCAGCCTAAGTGACAGAGTGCAACTCTGTCTCAAAACAAACAAACACAGTAAGAATATTTTCATCATCTCAGAATATTGTTTTGTATTCCTTTTTAGGCAGTGCAGCCTACTTCACTCCCAGAAGCAAACCTGTTCTTTCTTTTCTTTTCTTTCTTTTTTTTTTTTTGATACAGGGTCTCACTCTGTTGCCCAGGCTGGAGTGCAGTGGGACGACCATGACTCTGTGCAGCCTCAACCTCCCTGAGCTCAGGTGACTTTCCCACCTTGGCCTCCTGCGTAGCTGGAACTACAAGGATGCACCTGTAAAAATAAATAATAAATAAAAATAATTTCTGTATGTTTTTGTAGTGATGGGGTGTCCCCATGTTTCCCAGGCTGGTCTCAAATGCCCCACAAAGTGCTGGGATTACAGGTGTGAGCCACTAAGCCGGGTCCTGTGTTCTTTCATTTTTCACCAGAGTTTGGTTATATTCTAGAAATTCCAGCACAGCGCGGTGGCTCACGCCTGTAATCCCAGCACTTTGGGACGCTGAGGCGGGCCGATAACGAGGTCAGGAGTTCGATCAAGATGAGCTTGACCAACATGGTAAAACCCCATCTCTACTACAAATACAAAAATTAGCCGGGCGTTGTGCTGCGAACCTGTAGTCCCAGCTACTCAGGAGGCTGAGGCAGGAGAATCACTTGAACCTGGGAGGAGGAGGTTA